CTACAGTAATTCAAATAAACTTAAAAGTAATACTGGAAAGAACCATTAATGAAGTGAGCCAAGAAAATGTAACAGAAAGTCTGTGTTTTGCAGGCCTTCATTTACATATTTCTGTGTATCTAGCTAATTGCACTTAAAAGTGAAAGCAATACGGAACATCACAGTAAGCCTTAGAAATAGAGCCACTCGGAGACTTTGCCAAAACTAAGTATTTCTGAATCTTATTAGGAAAGTGGTATAACGTATCTTTAGAAAACAAACCAAACCCAGTTGCCTTACAGACAGGAAATATTTAAAAGTTTGCAAATGTTTGGTTAGGCTTGATAGTTTACTCCATTAGAAATCAGTGTTCACTGGATCTGAAAAGTGAACTGTTACATTCAGTATTAATGATTACTTACCCAGCATTGATGCAGCATTAGTATGTCTGTTAAGTTAAAAGATTCCTTAGGTACTTTTTCTGTAGCCTTAGTCATCTCTGTTTTATTAGTTTACACTTTTTCTTGTGCAAAGACAAGCAAGCCATGTATCTGCTTCAGTTTTACAGCATCTGTCTGTCCGTCCTGCTTTTGCAAGTAAATGATAGCCTCAATATGCAGGTTACAGGCTGGTGTGACTGTGGCATATTGCCTCTTTATCCCCTCCTCTGGAGGCATTTTGTGAGGAAAGTGCAGATGTGCACAGACTTTTTTACCCTTTTCCTTCTACTTCCCCCTCAGCCCGTCCAGAAAAAAACCTTCAGGAGATGGGGAAACAACTTCATAAATTCCAGTAAATGTACACATATTTTTAGTGGAGCTGAAGTTCCTGCACAATAATAGTCAACACAGGGTTTCAGAAGAACCTTTCACATGTTCTTGAAGTCAGACATATTTAAATGCTTCACAGAATCATGGAATAAAGCTTTAGTTGGCGAATAAAACTACTAGGCTGTGTCTAGACTGGCAAGTTATGATTTTGCGGAAAAACTTGCCAGCTGTCTACACTGGCCACTTGAATTTCCAGTAAAGCACCGACGATCTCATGTAAAATCATCAGTTCTTTTCCGGAAATACTATGCTGCTCCCGTTCGGGCAAAAGTCTTTTTCCGGAAGACTTTTGCGCAAAAGGGCCAGTGTAGACAGTAGAATACTGTTTTCTGCAAAAAAGCCCCGATCGCGAAAATGGCGATCGGGGCTTTTTTGCGGAAAACTGCGTCTAGATTGGCCACGGACGCTTTTCCGCAAAAAGTGATTTTGCGGAAAAGCATCCTGCCAATCTAGACGCGATTTTTCCAAAAATGCTTTTAACGGAAAACTTTTCCGTTAAAAGCATTTCCGGAAAATCATGCCAGTGTAGACTTAGCCCTAGTGTGTTGGATTGAGATTCACGCACTTAGTAGATGGGTCTATTCAATCTTTATCAAGGCAAAACATTCAGGAAGTGATGATCCACTTATGAGTGGAAGCTCCTCAGAATGTTTTCATCACAATCACCTCCATCATCTCCCTTTGTTGCACAAACTTATTTATAACTTTTTTGTCACAAATGTGATTGCTTTGCAATTTCTTACACGTGCACAGTTCTACTTTTGCTTGCTCTGTTAAATAGTTAGAATTTACTCTTAAAATTCACAAAAGGCTTCTTCTTTGAGGCCTAAATATACCTTCCCTCTCAATACCATCATTAAAATAGTTTAGAAGGGGAGATTACAGGCTTTCTATCTATCATCACAGGTCTTGATGTAATTGTGAAGAAGCATGGTTGCTTGTGATGAGATACAGCCCATGGAAAAAGAATGGAAGCAGAAGAACTAAACTCTCTGAAAGGTGACCTCATCAGCCAAATAAACTGAGCGTGACAGAAAATAGCCTTTTTATGAAGAAAATTTGTTTATTTTCTGTACTTGAGTGTTTTCTAAATGTCTACACTTCCATCCTGCCTAAATCCCAGATTGGCACAAACATTTTATTATTTGAGCTCAAAATAAGTGGATACTGAAAAATGTTGAAATGTTGACTTCCTGAATAGTTTGTTACTCTCATAAGAACTCGTGTTTGCCATTAAAACATTGCCGTTAGCCATATAGATACAGTAGAGAGGTGATAGAAATATGGTCAATAAACAGTAACACTTAACCTCGTCTACATCTTTGGTTCTGAAAACCTTGTTGTTTAACATCTTACTTCCCTTTCCCTGCTCAAATGTTAAGCTGTGGGAACTTCGTATTGGAGAAAATGTCCCTAAATTTTAGTTTACCATTCATAGGGTACGTCTAGACTACAGGCTTTTGTTGACAAAGCCTCTGTCGACAAAGAGCGTCTAGACTACAGCCAGTTCTGTTGACAAAGCAAGCCACTTTTTCGACAGAAAGTCTAGACGCTCTCTTTTGAAAAAGCACAGCGTGGATGCAGAACTCTGTCGACAAAAAGCGTTATTCCTCGTAGAGTGAGGTTTACTGCCGTCAACAAAACTGCCACGTTCTGTCAACTTACTGTCGTCAGAGCTCGGCAGTAGTGTAGATGCAGGTGTAGTTTTGTCGAAAAACCCTGTAGTCTAGACACACCCATAAGGTGAAACCCTCATCCTTCTAAATTCAGTGGGAGTTTTGCAATTGACTTCAGTTGAGCCAGAATTTCACATCTCTCTCTTTTTAAAAAAAAAAGTCTTTTGGGTACTCCTCTGCTAAAAGAGGTCACTGTAACTTTATATAGAAAATAAGATAGCTGTAATGGAAACTGCCACTAATGTAAACAGTAAAGAGAATGATTAGCGTGTATCATTTTTATTATCTTCAGTTTAGACACATTTTTTTCATCATCAGTTTATACAGTGTTTAATGCCTATAGTGATATAGTGTACTTGAGAAGAAAATTCTATTAATATACAAGGTGTCATTGTTAGCTGCGATATAAATAGTTAGACTCACCGTGTGATTGAACCAGAAACAGTTAAATGTAGTTTGAAGCTATATAATTAGTGCTGGGCCACAGGCCAGTTTAGGCTCCTGTAATTGGGCCATATGGAGATGGACCAAACTTCTCTGTCTGTAATTTCCAAGCAATTCTCAGACCATATTGTAATTACTGATGTAAAAACTGTATCTTGAGATGGTTTAATATCTTAACATTAACTTTTAAGAAGATAATCACAATTCAGAGTCTGTTATAAACATGTATTACAGACTGTAGTGCTTGCTAACCTGGTTGATCCCATTGACTTAGTATAAAAAAAATTTCAGAGTAGTTGCTGAGACTTCAGTGGGTTTTTGTAAGGTAAAACTGGGCTTGCGCATCAATAGAATAATTTAGTAGTGAAGAGGTTGCAGCATCAGGGCCGTCAGTATCTTTGGAATCATTGCATAATAAAAATCAGCACCATTTATTTACTGTTATTCAGTTTTGTAATTATAACAACCATTGGGAGATATTCATGTAATGTGGGCCACATCATGCCATTAGATTTTGAGCAAAACTGCACTGATTTCAGGTAAACTCTGATTTAAAAACAGATGATGTGAATTATATATTAAGCCTTACTACTTCTTCTCCGGGCACATAATTTAAATAAAATTTAAAAAGGGGGAAAGCAGAGACTGTATTTTTTTTTTTATTGCCTCCAAACACTTAAATACCCTGCCTTCAACAATTTTACTTCCTAAATGACCTGTTGTAGACATTCCAGGCATTTCAAAATCAAATACCTGAGGTACTATACCTTCCAAAGGCCCATAGCCCTATTCATAAAGTTATGCTTAGGATTGAGTCTTTGCAGGATAGCGGCTTAAGGTCCAGTTACTTTAAAGTGATCTATGTGGGCAGGCCTTAAATCTATGTAGAGATCCATGGAGTCAACAGGATTGTGTGGATAAAAAAAATCTAGTATGATCAAATTCTGGGTCTGGGCTCGAAGTAGAAATATTGACCTTTTTTGAGTTGGGTGAGGATGGGGGGATTATTGCAAACATTTAAAAAGCAAAAATAACCAAAAAAACCCTCAATAGCTCACAACTGTTTGTAACCTTGTGATGTTATATATAAGCTTGGCTGTATTCGATTTTTATTGGTAAATATTTTCACAGTTCCCACCCAAACCTAGGAAAAAATGTTAAGATTCTGTTATAGCTGTCATTTATAAAAGTCAGGGACAGGGTCTGTGCAATAAACAACAACAACAACAAAATTCACTTGTCCTTGACTTTTACTAAAAATACCCCAGGGTGGTATTGGGGACAAACAAAGCTCTGCTGGGGTTTGCAAGTGCTCCTGCCCTGCCACTGCTCCAGCAGACCAGGGACTGTTGCTCTGGCAGGCCTAGGGCTGGCCACTGGTCAGCTGTCCTAGTGGCCACTGCTTCAGTAGCCTAAGGGCTGACAGATACTCTAGGCTTGCCTCAGAAATAGTCACGGAAGTTCCAGAAAGTCATGGAATCCATGACCTGCATGACAGAAATATATTTAAAGATAATAAAAACTTACAAATAAACAGAATAGGAAAGTGGTGTTTAAGAACCTAGAGTTTGATTTTAAGGCTATTCATTTTGTATATTTTCATGTGTGATGTTGACAACTTACATTTAATTCTTCATAATGTTTTAATTTTTGAATGTGTCCCCACTCTCATTAAATAAAAGATGACTCTGCACACAATTACCAGTAACTGAAAATGTTAAATAAATAAAAATCTAAAATAATTTAAAACCCAGAATTTTATGCAACTGTAAAAATGTAAATTGATAAAAATTGAAAGAACACTTAAAATTGGCCAATATTATTATAAAAATTATAAAAAACTGAATGCTACCAAGACTAAATATATAATAAATACTAGCTCTTAGGTATCACCATTATCCTCATTTTATAGATGGGGAAACTGAGGAACAGAGAAGCAAAGTGACTTTACCAAGATCACCCAGCAGAACAATGAAAGAGGCAGCAATAGAACCCATATTTTTCAATTCCTAGTGTGGAGCTCTGTTTGTTAAGCTACAATGCCTAACATTTGTCCTCTTTTTCTTGGCAGGGATGCTGCAAATTGAGTTGAAAACAAGGAAAACTTGCTTTTGGCGTCACCAGAAAGGAAAGCCAGATACGTATCTTTCTACAATTGAAGCCATTTATTATTTTTTTGTGGATTATCACCAGGAGATTTTAAAAGAGAGCTACAAAGGACAATATGACAACCTGCTTTTTTTCTTTTCATTTATGTACACGTTGATAAAAAATGCCAAAAATTCTTCAGGAAAAGAGTAAGCCAAGATATCTATGTGGCTGAAAATAGCACTATGTTTGTTTTTCTTTAATTTTGATAAAGAGCAGAAATACAGTGTTTTGTCAAAATGACATTTAAAAGTTCAATTATTAAACAGTGCATTATACTCTGAAGTTGTCTGTAATGAATCTCCAAATGCAAGAGGAGGATCTGGTTCTGTACACACTTGATGAGTAATTTTAATCATGAGAGTAGGCCTATTAGAACTACTTATTTCAATGACATTATGTATTTCCCTAAGGATTGGCCAGTTTGGGCTTATTTTGTGGGTCTGACCTTGCAGTAAAATACAGTTATTTTACTAATCAAGAAGTTTATAGAATTTTTGACTAGTTAATTAGTTGATAGGGGAAGGCAGCCAGCTCAGTGCCAGCTTGCACCAGGACCAAACCCCACTGCGGCTCTGCAATTTAAAATGCAGTAGGAGCTGGGCAACATCCTTTCTCTTCCTCTTCCCTGCCCCTCAGCACTCCCACCCCTCCCCC